CTAATGTCACACATATGATAATCCAAAATTTTGATATCAGGATTATTGTTTTTACCTAAGAAGTACAATGTTAACTGTACTTATTCTAAAAGGCTATTTTCTTTTCTAATTTACTTATATATTTAATAGTTCTTCAAGAGCAAAATGTCAACAAATGCAACCAAGCCGTAGGTATCGTATGATAAAAAATGTAGCGAATACTATTTTTGAATCGATAAATCACATAGCTAAAGCACCCATAACCTCCAGATTCCAAATTAGTATAAGAGGATTCAATATATGAATGTGCACTACTTCGGGAACAATAAATACTACACTTGAACTTCGACATATTATACAGAATTCGTTTCGTTATGTGGGATCAATTGGAAATACACAACGAAGAGGAAAGAGAGCATAAAAATCATAAGATCGATCGTTATATTATTTTTTTAAAACTAATGTAAAGATTAACTGTAAAGAAACCACGCATTGTATATTTTTGAAAATGTTTTTTCGATGAAGAGTAGATTGTTTTTAATATCGTCTTTTACAAGTAATGCTATAGTTGGTACATTTCTTTTGTCAGCTTTTTTTCTACAAACTATCTTATAAAATATCCAGGTACTAGTAGGAACTTACAACAAACAGACACATGTAAGTGTGGTAGGCTGACAGATTCAGTCTGCCAGTCATTTCCTCTGTTCTGATTAAAGGCTATCATAATAGCATGAGCCCTTGTCTATTAAGAAGTCACGCAAACATTTGATATTTCACTAATTGTATGTAAATGAAAAAGACATGAGTCCAATCCACTATGAGTTAATGGTCTGCTAGTGTATCGAAGACAGAAACTACTGACCAACATGAATACAATGTCGTATTAATGTCAGTAACGTTAGCATCAGATTCGATGATTCTTGTCTGGATTCGCCTCCTTATCTGTGCTATTGTTCTAGTTGGTTGTACTAGATGCAGAATTCAATTCTGAACCGAATACTGCTATTTTCAGAGGAGGTCATTAGGCAAAAAATGGTACTTTCCCTCGAAAAGCCCGTACTGGACCCCATTTTTTCGGAGTATTTCTTGTTCCGATTCGTCCATGTGTCTATGCTATTGTGTTAGAGGTTTGCACTTGATGTAGAATTTTATGCTGAATCCAATGATACCATTTTCAGAGAGGTAATCAGGAGAAAAATGGGAGTTTCTCCGGAAAAACGGATACTGGACCCCATTCTCAGAAGTATTTTCTGTGTGGATTCGAATTTCTACGAGTGATTCTCGACTTGGTAATGGTGATGAAGAATGAATAAGATTCTACATCGATTGAAAGTGCTCAGTTCATAGATGCAAAATCGCATTCTATGAGATCTCTCTTAATCTGAGGGATGCGAATGTATGAATCCGATGGGCTGCCGGTTATGGAAATCCGAACCAATATCATTTGATTTCCGTAAGTTCGGACGTATTCCGATGAGACCCGAAGGATGGATCCTCTCGGATTGAATTATCACAAATCGGGCAGTTTCCAACGTTTCGAAGAAGTTAGTCATTGACTATTTTGATTAAAGGAACTGTATTATACCGAGTGCCCCAAAATGGTTGCACACTTTTTATTTTGCATATATCTCAGCATGGACAAATGAGAAAAATCTTAAATTTGGGATGGGTATGGGTGTGGGTGTACGTGTATGTGATTAAAGACAAAAGAAACACTCATACACCCACACCCACACCCTCGATCCGACGTGCTTATCTCGCCCCAAAGTCTGTTTTGGAGTCAAATGTTCAGCTGTATCTTCACCTTTTATGCTTGATCTCTGGCCTTTGCCTTTAGACACAAACTCATTTTATTTGATATGATCCTTCCTACAGTAGAGGGAATAATAGCAGCAGCACTAATAAAAAAAAACAGGAATCGCGACCAAATGTTTGTTCAAACACGGAAGCGAGAAAAAACTAATAATAGTAAAAAAATTATCGTTGTTCAAAAACAACACGAAGCATTAATAATTGTCTTTGACCATCTTTCTCACCAATGGCAACAATTGTTTGATTATGTGCGGCCATATAAATATGAAGTGGTGTCATACCAACATGTATAGTTGATGCTATTTGACCTGATTGTAAATACCATAAACATATATTTTGATCTTTTGAACCAGTTACTACTAATTGATTTGTTGATATGCATGCACAAGTTATCTAAAATAAATAAAAGAATAAAAATTTTTATTAAGAAAAAATATTTTTATTTATTACTTCTCGTTCATGTCCAATTAATTTCGAAATAACTTCTTTTGAATTTGTATCCCAAACTTTCGCTGTACCATCTACACTAATTGTCACAAAACATGAACAATCAGGTGAGAATTTTAAATCTTTAATTTTATCTCTATGTGCATTTTGTCTATTATCATTTAATGTTTGTATACGTTGACATGATGGAATATTCCAAAGAATAATTTGTCCATTTATTGTTCCAGTTAACATTTGTTCATTATTTAAAACAATTGAACATTGAGGATCAGAATCAATAGTAATTATTGGTGGTTGAATTAATTCTTGTTGTGTTATTAAATGAAAAACAACATAATTTGTTGTTAATCCTGATGGACAACCAACAATAGCATAACATTCATCAGGTGTTAATGTTATAAACGATGGTGTACTATCATAAGATTGATTTGTATCTGATTTAATTTCTTTCATTAATTCCAAATTATTTAAATCAAATATACCAACAGATATTCCATGTCCATATTTTTGATTTCCTGCCATTATGAGACAATTGGAATTATTACTTAATGTAAATGTTGTACATTTTATTTGATATGGTAATTCAATTGATTTTCCTGTATTAAAATCCCAAATCTTAGAAAAAAAGAATATTTAAATAATTTATTTATTTTTCATTTAATCATACTTGAAGTATATTTGATTGTGAATCAAAACTATCACTTGCCAAACCAACCAAAAGTGTTCCATCACATGCTAATGTAACTTTACTAGAATGAATAGTTATACCTTGCATACTTGAAACAAGTTGTCCATTCTAAAAATAAATATTATATAAAAATTAACAAATAAAAGAAATTTTTTTCTTACAATAGTATCCCATATTTGTGATGGTCCTTGACTTTGTCCAATAATTACATATTTTCCATTCGGTGTCATAGTAACAGAATTAATATTATTTAATTCATAATCTGTTGGTAAACCACCATCAGCAAACATAACTTTCATTGAATATTCACCATCATCAGTAGCTTCCCATGATTCAAATTTATCTCGATATTCTTCAGTCATTTCTCCACCACTATAACCAAAATCAGCAATTGGTGGTGCATGATAATCAGTTTCAATGATATGTTCTAAACGGTAAAACCTGTAACTCTCTATCTTATCCATCAAAAGTTATTCAAAAAACGGCCATCATTGTTTAAAATCCTAGTGTTTCTTCTCTTTCTACTCAAATTTTAATTTGAAACGGGCATTATTTTTCTGAACTACAACCACTCGTTTGCTTCGAAAATTTCCATACAGGATGCTCTAAAGCTCCCGATACATTAGAAGATCCCGGGTCTTCTATTCAGTCTTATCGTTCACAGGTTACAAGGGAGGTCTTCTATTATGCCCTTAAAAAAAGTCATATTTCTGATAGTCTCTACGATAGTTTCTCATTTGCAGCTTTTTGTCTAATACGTCGTTCGTAAATGAGTTCATTCTACTTAATCGACGCCCTTATAATGGAAAAGAAATATAAAATATTTGTAAAAAGCGAAATTCTTAGCAAATAGTATTTTGAGAGCAACACAGACGCCGTACTCTAAAGCTTCATATGATTTTGTAAAGCGCCATTTTTCTTCCGAATGATGAGGTTTAGCTAGTACAGATAGAATTAGACACGGACCAAACCCAAACTGTTTGAACTTGATAAGATCAAGCTCGACTCGGGTCGTGTGAAGTGAGCCAAAGTGGGGTCCATTAGTCCATACTATACCCATTGTAAATATATAGTACTCTAGCACCAGAAGTGTCATTCCCATAACAGAACAGCAGTACTCAAAACCCGGAAGTGCTATTCCCATAATAGAACAGAGGTACTCACAACCCGGAAGTGCCATTCCCATAACAGAACAATCCCGTTCTGTTTTGGAAATAGTACATCCGGGTTTTGAGTACCTTTGTTCTGTTATGGGAATTGCACTTCTGGGTTGTGAGTACTGCTGTTCTGTTATGGGAATGACACTTCCGGGTTGTGAGTACCTTTGTTCTGTTTTGGGAATAGCACTTCCGGGTTGTGAGTACTGTTATTCTGTTATGGGAATGACACTTCCGGGTTGTGAGTATTTTTGTTCTGTTTTTGGAAAATGGTTGAACGACAGTAAAGTAAGGACTTGTATTCTGATTGGTCAATTTTCTCTATATGAAGTGAGCCATAATTTTTTGGTTAGGATGTTTGGCTCACTTCACATGACCCTCGACTCGAAGTGTAGGATAGAACTGGAGGCTCGAATTTGATTCGTATTTTTCCGAACTCAATTCTACTTAATCTTTAGTTGATGTCAATATCAATTATTAGCTTATAATAAACTCAATTAAAGAAAGATTGAACTTGACTCGAACTCAGACCTAGATGTTCAGTTTGAGTCGAGTTCAATCTTATCAAATTTGACTCGAAAAGTCGAAGTTGTGTTTGGCTTTGGTACATGTCTAGATAGAATTTATTCAAACTGGAGTGTACTACGATTTGAACCATTGGTTTACAGCTAATTTGAATAAATATGGTTATACACTGGGAAACAGTTCATAGAAAGGAGACATTGTATACATGTCGACAGTATTTTTACGACCTTTTATGTCTATTTTGAATAATACTTTAATATCTTTATCCGATGAGACGCTCACTCTCATATATGAAATCCGTATTTCATAAGACATAGCTCGAAGCTTGTCCTCGCCGATAATTTTTTCCCATTGATGAATAAACTCTTCTGTGATGAAAACGTTCTCGAATTTCTAGAAGAAAGTGTTTAGGCAAAGCAAGATTTTACACGCTAGGCAAAGACATTTCACTCGGTATGTTCCTACTCCAGAAAGATCTTTTCATGAGTGACACGTTTGCATATTTGTCATATTAATTAGTTTCTATAACCGTGAGGGAAACGAATTTTTCGTATAAAAAACTTCAAAATGTTCTTCAAAACATGATCCAAGAGGGCAATAAGATGATTCAAGAACGCTTTCTTTGGTACAGAAACACATTTTCTGATTAACTGTCTTTCTTGTCACCTTTTTTTCATACGGTGTCCAACTCAGAGCTGACATTTTTCTAGTACAACGACAGTAAAACATCGTCCACACTGAACTTAAATACTGATTCGTACATAACAGTTTTAGAAAATGTCAAAAAATTTTACAAAAGTATCCTTAGAAGTCAAATTCAGAAGGGGGGGGGGGGGTCTTCTAATTGGTCGGGGACTTTAGAATAATCAAACATTTTCAGAATCGTAGCTATTAGGAAAAGTAAAAATCTAAACGGTGATATATTCAATCATTCTAAAGGTAACACCTGATTAAAATTGAAAGAGATCGAACGGCTTTTTTATGCGGTGGATTAGCCTTCTCAAAGTTGTGCTTAAATATAGAAGAAAGGCTTTTAATTCATGAGATAAGGACCAAATAACATTAAATGTATCGATCATGCTTTTTTTTTCTTGGAGTCTTTGAGGATAAAAACGATCAAGTTACTAATATCTATCAAAGATCTATTTCTCCCTTTGACCTGATCTTGACAAAATTCACAGAAATCGTAAGACAATTTAGTTGCTTACACTGAGAACAAGATTTTGTGAAAATTTGGCCGATTGCTGTGATCTTCATTAGTTTGTAGTCAAATAAAAGAAATAAAATGTATTGTTAGTGCACTATAACTATTGAAATGGACAAAATATAGAGCATGGAAAATTTTAAGGTAAATGTATGTGCGAACACGAATTTAGTAGAAGTTTACAACAGAAGTGCTTTAATATGTTCACAGTTCGCAATTTTCTTTTCGTCATTTGAAATAGCAGTTCTATCGCGTTTCACATTTTTAATCCCGCATGGATTGCGCGACACAGCTTTTTGATGAGCGAACAGAAAAGAATGATATGTTTCCATCAGGAATTGAAACCATTAAACGATACTTTTTATCTGGTTCAGTGCTCGAATCACTGAGCTATAGAAGCGCGATGAATATATATTTTCTATTCTGAATAATATTTAATCATCGAAAGTTTTTAACGTCGATACGAAGTATACGATGCTCTTGGGTATAGCGAAGCCATTTACAGACCAACAGAATATGTTATCTATACTCCTCTTGCGAAAGAATATATATAATATTCAAAGAATGAAAGGAGTATTATTAATATTTGAGAAAACAGCTGTATTTTGTTTGCATTTCGATGATTAAATATCATTCAGAGTAGAAAGGTATGTGTTTGCCGTTCTTCTCTGACTTAGTTGTTCGAGTATTGGTCCGGATAAATAATATCGGTCATCGGTTCGATTCCTGGTGGGTGCATGTCATTCTTGCCGATTCGTTCATGAAAAGGCAAAAGAAGAACAACGATAATCTCAAATATTGATGATACTTCTTATATCCTTAGAGTATTAAGATTGAGGTCAACCTACGTAGTTGAATGTAGTGTTTAACCATTAACTTTGTTCGTGTTCAGTCAACCGACCTCGGGGTGATAATTGCAATCAGAGATTTTTCGATGTATTTCTGCTTAAGCATTGATCAATGATGATTCAAGTTAATCTCTATCTTCACCCGTCTTCGGAGTTGTTACATACCCTTCATCAATATTGAGTCAGAAGTCTTCGAAATAAATGTTTTTCTTTTATTCCGAAAAAAACTTTTCGAATAGCGGATCGTGTTTGGTTGCAGGATTCGACTCTCAATAATGGTGTCAAGAATGCAATCGTGAAAGGGACAGATTAGGTACCTATGTAGAGACCAAAGTTAATGTGCAAAGGGTGATAATAAAGTGTTGATCGCAACCAAGTATTAAATATAAACGCACTATACTTATCTGTGTATTTCAGCGATGAAAATAATAAAATAGGAGAGCTTATTGTCAAAAAAATTAGCAACGAACGTTAAAAGTGGAGCATTGAAAAGATATATTCTTCGATTATTATTGTGATCCAAAAATAGTTGATTTATTTTAATTTCAATTCCAATTTTTGGTTCAAGAATGAAAAGCAAAGATCTTCATTTTTTCCATTTGTAAAACTGTCTCAAAAAGAAATTTAACAAAAAAAGGTCCGTTTCATAAATCTAAGTCGTCTTCACCAATTTTATCTGCATGAATTTGAACTACCAGTGCGCAACTAATACGCATTTTCACTTACGGTCAATGGTTATATTTGGCCGTAACCTATACTTACCGTCCTGAACGTCATTAAGAACAGCAGTATTTTGAATAAAACGACGAATGATCATACGAGAGCCAGATTTCATAAACCAGACAAGAAAGATACATTTAGCAAGCCAATAAAAAAACAATGAATTGAATAAACTATATCCAAAATACTCAATACAACCAAGCAATGAATAAACAATCCAATAAATCAACAAATGTCTATCGTCATATTTTCCTGGAGATTGGATAGCTGATAATCTGAAAAATATAATAGTTGTTAAGTTCAAATTATGGAGACCATTCACATCGAAAAGTTTTACTGATCTGCAAATTTCATTTTTCCGTTAGATCTCAGCAGAAACGAAAAATTATTTTAAAAAACAAGAGGAGCAGAAGTCAGAGATCAAAACAAAGACCCAAGAACTTTCTGTATAAGACAGACATGTTCGATCTATTAAATATATATTTATTTAAATAGAAATTGAAAAATATCAATTTAATCGTTCTATGAAATATCATAACGCGTTTATTTCAAAACTTTTCCATTAAAATGAAAAATTCAGCAGCTGTCTCATGCTCAAAGTCCTCGTCCATCCTTTTTGTCCTCATACTCTCTCTCAGAATGTTGTGCATGGTAAGGCTTTAGCCACACTGCAGAAAGTAACCGTCACAGGTATAAGAAGGATGAAGATCAATCAAATTGTTGCCAAAATTAGAAGACACATTTGTTAGCATCAATCCAAAGTTTCAGATGTTTTTATTAATCTAGGTCAACTTAGCCAATTATTTACTTTTGGTTTCCTTTGTGTGATATCTTGTTTTCGGTGTCAAATGTATAAACATGATCTCAGATGGAATTACGAAGAGAGCACTCTCATAGAGCTCAAAAAGTTCTGTCAATAAATGTATCACACGCCATATTTAGACTCATCAGAACAATCGTCAGCTAGAAACGTTTCTAAGCACACATTCGGAAAAAGCTCAAAGTTGTGCACCGAAATAGCTACTTTTTGTTCTAACTGATTGGTTTTAAACAGCCAAATTATGAACGAACATTTAGTGCGAACATTTGTAAAACAGAATTTAACATAAATGATCATGATGTAGTGTAAGTTTCTATGTACTGAAAAGAATTATCAGTTCATCGATAAATCTGATAAACCTATAAGGATGCAAAGATTTTTCCACTACTTATACTAAAACTTTTCTCTTGGCTCACAATGAACCATCAATTGAAAAAAGAATTTGAGTCATAATCGTACGAACGATTGGCACATGAAATTCAACTTACGAAGCATAGACAGGATAGAGAATTCCGATTAAATTACAGACAAAATCATTACCCCAACCGATTATCAAATAGATGGCAAGAATGGGAAGTATACCTAAACGAACAAAACGATAAGATAAGCGAAGAATAAGAATCATAACAACATACCAAGCGCAATTAGTGAACGTTCCAAATGTATTTTCTGTTCGACCAGGTCCAAAAATAGGCTAATTCGATTGTTGTGCAAATACGGATTGAGTTCATTCTTGACCTTATGAATATTGTTCTTAATTACAGCAGACATTTCTTTAAATATAATTTCAAATCTTAAAGAGTAGTAAGAAAAACAAAAAAGAAATAATAGGATTGTAGATATGTGTCGGATGATAAATTATCAATTCTCTTCCAATACTGTCAAATCGTACACAAAATTCTCTCAGACGCCACTTCTCCGTTTTTTTCAATGAGCGAAAGTCGTATTGACGAAGAGCAAGAGCTCCATCGATTTCTTACTGTGACGGGTCATCCGTCACTTATTCATCTCTATGCTGAGTTGTCACTTTCCGATCTCAGTGTCGGTATAAACTATTTTATTCGCGAATTATTTGTTAGTTAAAAGACTCATGCTTACCTTCTCCCTCTTTTCACCTTTTCTTATATCCTTTATACGTAAAGGAATTAAGCTCGTACCATCCAAATATCTTTACATTTATCTTATCGTTACCATCCATTTCGATTAGAATTTCCTTCTTGAAAAGCGAGATATCGAAATCCTATAGTGTTAATTGTGATTCCTAGCTCTTGTCCAGTTTTCTAATTGGTTATGAAAGTAAAGTGCCGAAGTTTATTTTATCTGCTCCATCAAATATATTTTGAGCTGAGCTTTCATTTGTATTGAAGACAGAGAAACCTGGTTTCTTTGTAGAACCTATGTATCGAGAGATATTTCAAGATTGTAAAGTTTATACCAACGGTTTTTTTTTACTACAGAGCATTCCGTCGTGTGGATTGAATTTCTTTATCGAAAAAGATATGACTCGAAATATTTTCATATGAAATAAGAGTGGTCTCAAAGAAAAAATAAAATGTTCCAACAGAGTCTTGTGGCGAAAAACAAGCATTTTGATGAATCCTTCCAGAGTCCTAGAACAAGTTTAGTTGAACATTTTCCTCCTCACAAAGAGTAAAGAAGAGATTGTAGTCTATCGAATTGTATCAACAGACTTTGGGAATGGTTCCTCCTTCGCTCTGAAATGCGCTTGACAAAACAGATATTGCCGGTGTCAAAATAATATTTTACATAACGAATGTAAATACTGCAAAATTCATCGATAACCAACAAGATTGACGCACTTAGAATCACGAAAATAGATCAATAAAAAAGAAAAGATTTTCCTTTCTGTTAAATTAAATATTCAGAACGAAACGAGTCCATAAAACTGAAATATTAAAGTTGAAGGAAGTTTTGATAGTAACTTTTTGGCGAGTAGTTTTTCTTGTACCTGTGTAATCTTTAAAATTGCTTTCTCTTAGTGAATTTCGTAACTTATTATTTATTCTATCTATACGAGGAATTCCACTAAGGTAGCAAATCTAGATACAGTGAAAAATGTCACACACTATCGATGAGTACTCCTACCGTATCATTTGCGATGAACTAATAAGTCGGTTAATTGAAAGAATGTAATGTAGGAAGCGAATATCCATAGGGCAAGATAATTGCTAACAGTGTTTTAATTTTCATTAGCTACTCTTATAAATTCACTTGTCAAAACAAGTTTAATAGCGAAGGCTTGGTTTCTAATTCATCTCCGAATAACTTCTACCATCATGAGTTCAAACATAAATTTCTAAAAATGATTTTAGCAGAAATGAAAAAGTATATTGACGTTGTATGTATTTCACAACTATGAAAGTAAGTTTTTCTTGTTTAGTATATTAGCTGAATATAAAGTTAATTATTCCAAATAAATCAAAAATATTTTGACCATTGGAATTTTCTCACTAAAAAGAAATCTGAAAAGCTGATTTTTCATTTTGTCCATCTATCTATTTTTTCTCTTCATGAATATAGTCCATACTTTTTGTTGCATTGTAACGATTGATATCAGAGCAATAATAGCATCAATCACTTTTTTCAGATTTTGTTTTATTGTTAAGCTGTTTCGATATTATTCAAATTTGAGTATTTTGAGTAGAAATTGATCATCTTTTTTCAATAAACTTCTTAGTTAGAACTTGAAGGCACTAAAAATGGCGTTTTATAGATAAACATAAGTCAGAAATCCAGTGTATATATTTTTAGGATCTTCAGTAGGGTTCCATAATGTCTTTGTAAAAGTAGGAATGAGAGAATTCTGTATCATATAACAATTCTTCGAAGCTTTTACAACTCTTCAAAGACTTAGAACATTGTTTCTAACCGAATAAAACAGCGAATTCACACTCACGTTCCAAAATTTCCGTGAAGAAAGATACTAAACATCTTGGAACAATCTCATTTGATAAGAAGTCTCTTCTTTAAGTATCTCGATCGTTTTTAAAAAATTTCGAAAACAATGACTTTCTAGAAAACCTGCTTTTACAAAGATCTTTAGACCATTGCTCAACATCCTGAAAGGATACGCACTAGATTACTCATTTACTTTTATCTACAAACCTCCGTTTTTAGTGCTATCGTGTCTTAATTAATAACTTGATCGAAGAAAAACTTGTTCAGTTTCAGCCCAAAATACTCAAATTCTAGTACTATTGAAATAACTTAGTAAGAAAGCTAAATTTTAAAAAGAGCGATGCATATTTCTGTTGCTCTTACATTGACAGTTACAATGAGGTAAAAATAACATATATATGTATCAAAGAAAACTTGAATAATACCAATATCATTATAATTAATAATAATAAGGTAGTTCAGTATAATCTTAAAGTGAATCTGGGATTTTTGACCTTTTTAGTAAGTACAATCATCATCAGCACTATTTTGAGGGCATGAAGTCAGAGTCAAGATTATATTCATTGGTACATATCTATGTTTATATTTATGGATTAATTTTAATTATTGATGTATTTGGATTAAAATCTATAGTTCTTATTGTTTCATAATAAATAGAAACTTAAGATCACCAGTGATGTTTTGAGTGCTGATGATGAACGTATTTAATGAGAAAAAGTCGCAATTCCAGATTCACTCTAAAATTATACTAAACTGCATTATTATTATTATTATTAATTATTATGACACGGCTATATGCTGAAGAGAACAAACTAAATAGATGACCAAAATGAAAATCGACTTTTCAGGCTTCTCTTTAGCGACAAAAACTATAATGGTCGAAATGTGTTTGATTAATTTCGAATAATTAATTTTAGAGTCAATTTAACATACTGAATAAGAAAAACTTAGTTTCCCAGCTATGAAACACGTTGAACGTTGAGAAAATCAAGTCTTTAAAAATGACATGTTTTTCGAGTTTCGGATTATCCGAGATTTTCAAATTTCCAATTTTAAAAAGTGTTCAAAAAGACAAAAACGCATATTCTTACTCAACTCGACGTGTTCTGTCCAGCCATGTATAAATAAATGGAAAAGAAAATCATACTTAAAATTCGAATTGCTTACACTTTAATTACATATGTATGCATGTACAGGATAGACCATAAATAACTATACGATAAATATCTTCAATATCTCCACTCTGTTTCTACCATATGAGGTGATTTTTTTATTGGTGATAGAGAATCACTCAAAGTCTTTTTTTTGTAAGAGAAATATTGACAAACATAAATCATGAGCTATTACTATTGCCTTCAATAAAGAAATTTGACTTTATGTAGCTTTCAAATAAATGATGAACTTGCATAAAAATTTAAACTTGTAGAACAAATTGTTCTACTCAAAATGAATTAAACTAGGATCATTTCTCTATAACTCTAAAAAGAATGGCTTAATTATACATAATATAATGAATTTATAATGGTTTTCTTTTCAATAGTATCTTTCAGAACACATATTATACAAGACCTTGTCTCAAAATCTGTACGAGGTCACATTTCTTTATTAAAGCTAATAGTAGTAGGTCATGACATATTTTTGTCAATGTTTTTTGTATGAAAAAAACTTTGAACGATTGTCTATTACCGATAAAAAAATTAGTTCGTTTGATTGAAATAGAATAAAGATATTAAACATTTTTATCGTATTGTTAATGATGACACGTTTACCCAGCAACAACAAAAGATATGATAGAAAATTGCCCAAACATTGAAATTTCGATCTAAATTACTAATTTAGTATAGAAACCTCGATACAAAATGAGTATGATTAATAAGTAAAAAAAAATGTTACCTTTTGCTGTTCCGGTGTAAATCGAGAGATAAGAAGAACGATATATGTTTCGATACTGTTCTAATTACCTGTGTGTGATCATATATGTATGTATGTATGTACGTATGTATGCGTGCAAGGGTGTACAGATTGATTATCTTATTTTTGATAGTTTTATTCGGTTTTGTGTCTTTATACAAAACCTCGGATGTTTCTTATGGTGATATAGTTGGATAGAACATCAATTACTCTATCAAACTATATACTTTTCAGTTTATTTACTTTGCATCTTGTCCAAAAATTTCATCAATTCCAAGAAGTACGAAAACGATGCTTTTGCGCGTTCATATTTCAGTGAGACTAAGTGCATTAATGATGAATATTGCTTTAGATGGAAGAGATTCATGAAACTTAAACATACAAGAATATTAAACAAAACTAATTCAAAATTGAAAAGAAATTGAATCTTACTGTAAGAATTTGATCCATATTTGTACTTATGAAAAACCTAGTTTGTATTAATTTTCACAGAAATTCACTTGGAAGAGTCGACGTAAATCTAATTAAAATTATGTAAAACGATAGAGAAATTAACGCTCTATTCAGCTATGTATCAAAACAAAAAACATTGGATGCTTCAACAACTAAAGTTTGTTAATGTAAATAACCGAAAACCGTATATGAAAAAAAGTTCATGAAAAATTTCTCAGAGTAGCACCAACTTTATGTTAAAGATAAGGAATAAGTCCAAAGTAAAAGCATATAGTTCGGTGGAGAAATAAAAGGTCTATTATTCTATATAAAAATAACAAATTTCAATACTCCAATAAATACTAGTCATAGGAATAAATTATTTAACAAATGTTCTCAATATTTTGGCGGGAAACAATCTATTTTTGGCTATTTTAAGAACTTTATCAATTTTTTGGACGAGATGCAAAATAAACAAAGTGCAAACTGTGGTTCGATAGAATAATCGA